GTAGTTCGAAGTACCTTTTTCCCCCCTGAAGCCACCTGGAGATCACCTGACCAAATAAAAATCAAATCAGATTGACCGCCCACGGTTGCTGCTCTGTTATTACCAGATCAGCTGCAATTACACAGAGAACCAACAGATGATGTTTGGGACTAACATTCATCCTCAATGTGTAAGAACTGGAGATCTAATATTTAGCAATACCAGCGCCGGCCGTGTCCGAATGCAGGTCAACTAGGGAATGGGAAGGAATGTGTTGACGTAGTACTCGCTGTGAAGGAAACCGAGAAATCCTCTGCGCTTCCACGAGAAATCACTGGGATGTTGGATGTGGGGAAAGGTTGCACGCACACGCAGGGATCGTTTTTTGGTAGAGCGATTATAATACACAAACACACACACACACACACACACGCGCGAACACTTATCCAATTTCTATTTTTAGATCAGGACCCACACTGCGGTAAGTGATGCGATCGGTGTTAAAGAAGAATTTGTTTTCATTAAAATCTAGTGGGTATAGAATAAGGCAAAGTGAAAAATTGCAAGGAAGGGGACGGGCCTGGGATTGAACTCCCGACCTTCTGCTCAGTAAGCAGAAACGGTAACCACTGAGCTACCGAGCCTCGTTACCTGGAGATCACCTGACCAACACACAGAAAACCAAATCGATCACGTTCTAATCGACGGGAAACTCTTCTCCGACATTATCAACGTCCGCACGTACCGCAGTGCGAACATAGATTCGGACCACTACCTAGTTGCAGTATGCATGCGCTCAAAACTCTCGACGGTGCATAACACACGTCGAAGTCGAACGCCGCGACCCAACATTGAGCAACTACGGGACGCCGGAGTTGCCCAGGACTACGCGCAGCAGCTGGAAGTTGCACTACCCACAGAAGAGAGACATCCGTTCAGCCATAGGTAGTACTGCTGCAGCGGCACTAGGTACTGCAATCCCGGACCGAAGAAATGACTGGTTTGACGGCGAATGCAAACTGTTAGTAGAGTAGAAGAATGCAGCACGGGCGAGAATGCTGCAACACCGCACGAGACTGAATGTGGAGCGATACAGACAAGCGCGGAACAGACAAAACTCGGTTTTCCGAAGGAAGAAGCGTCAGCAGGAAGACCGAGATCGCGAGGCGATGGAAAATCTGTACCACGTAAACGACACACGGAAGTTCTACGAGAAGCTAAATAGTTCGCGCAAAGGCTACGTGCCGCAAGCCGATATGTGCAAGGACTTGGACGGTAACCTTCTCACGAACGAGTGTGAGGTGATTGAGAGGTGGAAGCAGTACTATGACGAGCACCTCAACGGTGAAGCAGCAGAAAACGAAGGTGCCACGGCAACAGACCTTGGAGTACGCGCAGAAGACGACAGGCTACCGGCCCCTGATCTTCAAGAAGTTGAGGAGGAGATCGGTCGGCTGAAAAACAACAAAGCAACTGGTGTAGATCAACTACCAAGTGAGCTATTAAAATACGGTGGTGAAGCACTGGCTAGAGCGCTGCACTGGGTAGTTGCCAAGATTTGGGAGGAGGAGATATTAACGGAGGAGTGGATGGAAGGTGTCGTATGCCCAATCTTCAAAAAGGGCGACAAGTTGGATTGCTGCAACTACCGCGCGATCACACTGCTGAGCGCCGCCTACAAGGTACTCTCCCAAATTCTATGCCGCCGTCTGTCACCATATGCAAGAGAGTTCGTGGGGCATTACCAGGCGGGATTCATGGGTGCCCGCGCGACCACGGACCAAATGTTCGCGATTCGGCAGGTTCTGCAGAAATGCCGCGAATACAACGTGCCCACACATTATTTGTTCATCGATTTCAAATCTGCATACGACACAATCGATCGAGATCAGCTATGGCAGATTATGCACGAGTACGGATTTCCGGATAAACTGACGCGATTGGTCAAGGCGACGATGGATCGAGTGATGTGCGTTGTTCGAGTATCGGGGACACTCTCGAGTCCCTTTGAATCCCGAAGGGGGTTACGGCAGGGTGATGGACTTTCGTGTCTGCTGTTCAACATCGCGTTAGAAGGTGTGATCAGAAGAGCTGGGATAGACACGAGTGGCACGATATTCAAGAAGATCATCCAGCTCCTTGGCTTCGCCGATGACATTGACATTATGGCACGGAACTTTGAGATGACGGTGGAAACGAACATCAGACTGAAGGCTGAAGCTAGACGGATTGGACTTGCCATCAACGCATCAAAGACAAAATACATGAAAGCAAGAGGTTCTAGGGAAAACAATGTTAGCCTCCCACCCCGAGTTCAGATTGACGGTGACGAAATCGAGGTGGTCGATGAGTTCGTGTATTTGGGCTCACTGGTGACCGCCGAAAATGATACCAGCAGAGAAATTCAAAGACGCATTATGGCAGGGAATCGTGCCTACTTTGGACTCCGGAGGACGCTCCGGTTGAATAAAATTCGCCGCCGCACGAAGTTGACTGTCTACAAGACGCTGATTAGACCGGTGGTCCTTTACGGCCACGAGACCTGGACTATGCTCGTGGAGGACCAACGCGCCCTTGGTGTTTTCGAACGGAAGGTGTTGCGTACCATCTACGGTGGAGTGCAGATGGATGACGGAACGTGGAGGAGGCGAATGAACCACGAATTGCACCAGCTGCTGGGAGAACCATCCATCGTCCACATTGCTAAAATTGGGCGACTACGGTGGGCTGGGCACGTCGTAAGAATGCCGCACGACGACCCAGTGAAAATGGTTCTAGAAAGCGACCCAACAGGAACAAGAAGAAGAGGCGCGCAGCGGGCAAGGTGGATCGACCAAGTAGAAGGTGACCTGCGGACCCTTCGCAGACTACGAGGCTGGCGAACTGTGGCCATGGATCGAGTAGAGTGGAGACGACTTCTTCGGACAGCAGAGGACAACAAGGCCTTAGCCTGATTGGTAAGGTAAGTAAGCGCGAAGGGACGAAAATCATTTGCTACAAGCAGCATTTAACCTTCGATTACGAAGTCCAAAAAGATTCTGCATACCATGTGATACATGGTTCGTTTCATTGGACAAAGAATTACAGTCATTCTTTAAGACAAAAGCCAACTTCGAAGGAATACTTCATGACAGAGATACGTTGAAGAAAGAGGCTGCAAAGTTATACTTATTAAATGAATCATCAAACGAAAGCGATGATGGTTGGATGAACATTATCAATGGGGCAGGCAATAAATACGATGGAAACAATAATGAAAATCATTAATTTATATTGAGACGGCTGAGGTGTTAAAGTAAGGCTCATTTCCGTATTTCCTTTTCCCAACTCCTTTTCCTCTCCTTCCCATCCCTTCTTCTCTTTTCAGAAAGTGAGTAATGGCGCTATAACCATATGACAAGAGTTAGTGCTCAGGTCCCAACCGCTAGAAGAAAATGGAGCATCACTTAACCTTTTTAGACTAGATGCTCCCAACGACAAATGATTTATAAATAACAATACAACGGAACGTACGGTACGAGATGTCCACGTTTCATCCATTTATTGGATTTTGAAGCATCGTGTTTAAGTCTTGGATTTAAACAGGCCCGATGTTTCTAAATCATCTTGCCCCTTAAATGCTGCACAGTAGGGCTGGCCGTTTTGATATATTTTGCGCATTTATGCAATGTAAAAAAAAGTGATGGAGGTATATCTATCATTTTCCAGGATGCTTTCATGAATTGGCTGTGTTGGTGTTAGATTAGATTAGATTAGATTAGATTAGATTAGATTAGATTAGATTAGATTAGATTAGATTAGATTAGATTAGATTAGATTAGATTAGATTAGATTAGATAAGATTAGATTAGATTAGATTGAGTGGAAGTGGCGGAAGACAGGAATTTGACGCTCGTTATTTTCTGGCAACCTTCTGTGGCCAGGTTGATTCTGCTTAGAGGCTTTTTTGCGGATATTAATGAATTCCACTAGCTTCGGGCATGTCTTCCTGGTTGTCCGATGTGCTGCACCACAATTGGCATATTTGGGATCTGCGTCCTTCATTAGATCGCAGGCATCAGGAGTGTGCTGCTTGCCACAATTGTTGCAGCGGTAGGCCATGTGGCAGTTTCTCATTCCATGCCCGAACAGCATGCAGTTTGCGCATTGGGTGATATCACGGTGGACTGGCTTGTACCGTTCCCAAATCACCACGATGTGGAAATGGACCCGAATGCTTTAAGCATATTGAATTCCTTTCCAGGTGTACTAGATACAGCTGGTCAAGGTACTTACGTGAAGCGTCATGACGATTCATCTTGAAGATCTTGATTGGCTTGAGTCAATTTTGCTTCAAGTCATCCGACAGTGAGACTGTTTCTATGTCGGGAAGGCCACGCAAGACCACCTTGAGCGGCTTGGTCGCCTCAATATCGAGAGAAATACTCCACGTTTTTCTCCTTCAACAACGCCTCGGCAGCCTTGTAGTGGTTCTTCGCTGGGACCATCAGCTTGATGCCTTCAGTGCACAGTGCACTTGAGACCCCGATGTCGCGTTAACACGCGGTGGATTCCCCATACTGGGGTCGTGTAATGCTTCACCAAACACCGCGAAAAAAGAACTGGCGAACAACTAATGGCCCTTCATCTTAAAAACTTGTGGATAATTTTCTTCATCCGATGTTTTTTGATTACCGAGCAAAAAATCAAAGAATTTTATCTCGCGTATCATTTGAAAAGGGCCTATCCTCGTTGATCGATTCTCTTCATCGACTTTCTCTTTGGTTTACCACGGCAACATGAACGAATTTTTCGCTATGCTCGCAGCATCGTTCGACAAAATACGATGTTAGTTTGTGCCTGAAACAACACACTCAATAGAAAATGCAATTGCAGTCGGGTTATTCGCAAAAAAGAAAATCGATGAAGAGATTCGATCAACAGTGATAGGCCCTTTTCTCGTGTTGCGCGAGTTATAAGTTTTTTTTTTCATTTTCTTCCTGAACTTACTTACTGGATATTCCGAGACAGTTATTAGAATATTCATTATGTGTTTTTAATTGTTTCTTTATTAATTTATCTTAGAGAGTGAATTGAGCTACAGACATATTATGAAAATAATTTCGCTTTGTTATCATCTGGCAGTGCATGCGCATAAGACCGATGCACAATTTTTAATTTTCTCTCCACAGTGCTCAACTGGTTCCAATTTGAGTCTTGATCATCCTACCAATATTTTCATTCATTTAAATTTAGTTAAAAACTGACTGTGCACGGCAAATTTGAAGTGCATATGGGACTTACTATGGGATCTATTTGATCATATTTTTTTGACAATTCACCATATTTATCTCTAAAAATATTTGATAGCTGTGCTTGTATGAATTTTTTTCAGCTGCAACTTTACTGAAAACTACTTTTCGATTGAATGTAAGACACAAACGTTATTAATAGTTCAACTCGCTCATGTCTTATGGTCTTGCTCAGTCAACTGCTAAGCAGACAACACTGGTGTTTTTGGCGTGTGAAAAGAGGCCAAAAGTCAAGGCTACTATGTCACGCTGCCCAATACAATGTTGCCTACAAAGCAGTTGCTTGATCATGTCATAAGATTACCATTTACTTAAATAATTAATAATTAATACATTTCACGCGAATGGTAAGCTCTATAAAAAGACACTAGAATTATGGATGAGACAATAATGTAAAGAGATAGAGGAATAAAGGATGCAACAAGGAAGCAAACTGCAATTAAGTCGCCGAGTAGGAAGAATTAGAAAATATTTTGCACTTTTGATTTTCAAACTCCGTTGAGTTGTTTAAAAGACATTTAAAACTATAAAATAAACGAATTGAAAAAAAACAATCTATTTCTTTTGTCGCTTTACTAAAAAACATAAGCATAGTTGCAGCATAGTTGAAGCTGAGAAGATTTCCTACAAGAATAGCTCTCGAACTTTTTTAGAGCAATATATAAAAAGGGAAGTTTGGATTTCCCATAGTAATTCTCAAACAAACTTCAAATGGTTTGTGCACAGTCAGTTTCTAACCTAACGGATTCAAATTTTGAGAAGCTTATTAGGACCCGAGGACCGTGGAACGAAAATTTCAAATTGTGCTTCAGTCTGATGCGCATCTCCATCTACATATTGCAATTAAAAGAAAGCTTCATTATGAAAAACCACTGGTTGTACCAGTGAACAGTCTTATCACAGTTGCGGATTATCCTCTATGAACCTTCCGGGCACTAGAAACCTAGCTATTCCCGAGCGTTCGGATGAACGGCATCTCCGGCGTTGGGCATTTAAAGTAGGAAAATTCTTGCTCCCAACTGCCGGACTTCCCACCGACCGGTTCGAACATGTTGTTCCACAGAGCATTCGAAGCGCGCGCGTAACCCTTCTGGCTCAGATGGAAGCAGTCCATGGACATGTAGCTGAAGTCGGTGCCACCGTTCGGCCCCTCCGGAAACGAGATATTCATAATGAACGGCTGGAAAACCACCCCGAAGTCGGGCTTGCTATTGAATTCCTTTCGATTGGCGATGTCCATCTGTAGGAGATTCCATTTCTCGATCAGTTTGATGTAACGTTTCCTCTCTCGGGCAAAGCGCGTTGCCATAAAGCAGGGACATTCGATCACGTGCATCGTGACACATTCCTGCGGTTTTCCCTTGAGCTGGGTCAGGACGTCGACATCTGTGTGTGGAAGAAAGGTGACAATGTCATAATTATATGATGGCAATTCGATATAGCCTCAGCGATACGAATCGAACTTACTTGGACTTGCTACAAGGTTCACGAAGGTACGTGGTAGATAATCCCGGAATGTTCTTAAGGCAGACAGGATGTTTTTCTCGTGGTACATCAAGGTTTTCTCCGGTGGATTCGTGTAGCATATGTTAGCGCAAAAGTCATTACCTCCTATGAGTATAGTTATTAATTTCCAGTGGTTTTTAATATCGACTCGTGGATCAGAGAGCATTCGTTTGACTAGGTTTCTCGCCATGTGCGGAATATCTTGACTCATAGCACCTCCTTCGGCTGCATTGAAACTGTTGATCTCAATTACAATTTATTACAATCAGTACAATTTCAACATGGTACACTGGTACTTACCGCGATGCTTTTCTAATTGAAATACTATCCTTGATTGGATACCCGTACAGATTTGGATTGAATTCTTTCAGTATGTTCGGTAATGTGAGAAACTGCCTCCAGTTGCCTTGACCTCCAATGCTCCAAGAGAGACCTTTGTTCTCAACTAAAACCTCAAGCATATTGGTAGCCATAGCTCCGTTGCCGGCTGTTAGTGAGTCTCCAATGGCTCCCACAATGTCTATATCTCCGGGACGTAACCTGTCCACAGAGGTGGGAACCGTTGGACTCCTCATTCCAGTCGTGTTACAGAAAAATGGTACATCCTCAGCGTATTGCGTTTGAACTTTCTGAAAATGTCAATAATCGGTTGCTCTTGGTTGGTTTATCATAAATTGATAGGAGTCCTCTACTACTTACCCCCTTTCGTTGGTTTGCTTTGAACTTATTCCTGTCATCCCCGGTGGTACCGATAAAGTTAAGTGCAAAGCCGCGAAAACTGCGTAGCTTTTCCACAAAAATCGGTGAGTCCAGTGAGGTGATTTGTGCCTGCCCGTAGCTGTGCGGCATTAGGAGCAAGAGTATCGTGCCGATATGAAGCATTTTGTGCAGTGCATCTGATGGCCTGGGAAAGTACATGCTGGGTGCTGGTGTGGTATGGAGTGGTGTATTTACAAGCAAACAAGTGCAGAAAGCTGTTGAATTAGTACATTTTTAGATTTTTTTGATTTTATTTTTTAGCCTAGTTCTATTTTTTTCCATTCTTGATTATTGATATTCATTTTCTATATGGGGAAATGGATGTAATGTCAGCCTAAATGCTCCTTATTTGGGCCCATACATAAATTCAGCAATCGACTAAATTTTCAATAGCGACCAAAAATATTCATTAGTATCGTCCCAATGACGCGTTCATCTAGATAAAATTGATAAATAGCAGATTTTTAGCGATGAGCCCAATCTTAGATCCATAGGCTAACATTAGAGCCATTTCCTTTTTGCTTTTTTCCACGCATTCTTTTTCGTTCCTCTCTTTCAATAGGCCTTAGATCCAATTTTGGGCCTACTTAGCACAATGCGCCCTTTGCCTCTATTTTTCGAGTGGATTTTTTTCTTCTCAAAATGGAATGTTTTCATTGCAGATTTATTCTATTTTTTTACCTTTCCATACGTACCATAAGGTTTGCTCAGTGCTGGAAAAGTTCGTGATATTTAACGAAGTTCACCATGGGAAAAGTTCGCGAGTCATAGTGAGTTATCGCGAACTTTTCCATCACTGGATTTGCTAAAGAAAAACAAATTTTTGAGATATGTGTTAAAAATCTAACTTGACCCCAAACTCGGCCTACGAATTCTAAATTAGGCCTAATGCATTGAAACGCCATTCAAACACCATTGAATTCACTCCGCCCTATCAGATGAAGATAAAAATTGATTCGGTCGGAGCGCTTCTTTTGTGTTTGAGAAAAATTGGTGTAAACATTCATATCACGCGTTCTCATTGACTTCGTTCGGTAGCTTATTAACTAAAGTATCGTACCAAACACATAATTGACATAATTGACTTGTTAACTCTAAAATAATGGATTTATTTGATGTTTTCTGCTCGATAGGCCCAAAATGGACGATTAGGCCGAAGTAGTTCTCTGCTCTATTTAAGTTGAAACTTGTTTAATTAGAAGGGATATGGTCTTAATTGCAATGAAGAAAATGTTTATCCACAATTAATTCTTAATTTTAACAATTATTTTTTCGCTTTCTAAACTGTCTCTGATTGCTATTAAGGCGATTCCTTGTAGAGTTCACAAATGACCACCACGTAGGCTATACATGCATTACCACTTCGAATTTTCGACTCCCAAGTAAAAATTCTGCAATCATTTGGCATCCACTCTGATTTATGATGGTTTTATAATGGTAATGAACAATCCATTTAGTGTAAATACAGCATTTCACAGTGTAAAACGTTCCTGCTTAGTAGTTCACCTTTTCGCTGTTTTATCTGGCGAGAAGTCAAAAACTGTCTTGTTTTAAAATTAAATTTAAAATAGCTCTCAATCCCACCATACAACTGTTTGGCGCGAAAACGTGGCGCATCACGCCACGTAGCTCCACCAGTAGGAGACAGGTAACATAATTTTCTAATGTAAGCATATTTAGTCTTTAAAACGGTAGAGCACACGAGGCTCTACCTCTTTTTCATCATAAATGTGTAACGTGTAAGATCGGTAATAAATAGTGTTAGCATTAAAAGTTCTTTTTAAAAAGTGAACTATGAAGAAAGATCCCTTAACTGGTGTCAGAAGTGGGATCATCGTGAGTGTAACATAAAGAGACCGGAGTGAAAGTGCTTCGAGGATCAAGTGCATAGTTAGAGAACCTAAACCTCTGAACATCGACTTTTGAGAAAGCCGCATCACGTATAGCAACAGTTCGAGAAATTGGATCGTAAAACGCCGCAGCTACATCCCCGAAGACAGCAACTGCCGATCCGCTCACGAGGACTGGACTGGATGAAATTAATTGGTGTTATACTGTAAGTAATCTGTCCCTTTAAACCACTATTTAAATATGCCAGAAACACGCAACGCAGAAATTGAGCAGCTGAAGCAACAAATTGCTCAGCTACAAAACTTAATTCAGGGAGCAGGAAATGCTCATTATATTCCTGACCCTATCAAACAACTGTCAGAGTATTCAGGCAGTAAGAAAGAACTGAACGCATGGCTTCAGGAAGTAGATGAGCTCTATAACGAGTTCAAAGTAAAGGGTGAACGGGGAGCCCCCGACACCTTCAACGCGCACTATTTTAGGGCGATCAAAAATAAAGTGAAAGGCGAGGCACGCGCAGTAGTATGTGCCAATGGAAATCCGGATACGATTGCACAATTGACGAAAGTTCTGAGAGAGAATTTTGGTGATCAACGTCATTTTGCCACCAATCTTCACAATTTATTTCATATGAAGAGAGGTGACAGAAACAACCAAAAATTTTATAAAAGCAAACCTACAACTACACCCTATGATGCCTTCGCAAATGCTAGAATTAATGACGATAACAAAATTCTTAGACGGAGTGAGTGAACCACTTGCTTCTATCATCCGTAATTCTAAACCTAAAACGCTGGAAGATGCCTTCCAGGCCGTCATAATAAATCAGAATGCAGAAGTGCGAAAACCAGTGTACAAACATCCCAAGTAACAATCTAAATGCTTGGAAGATTTATTCTTATTTTATCATTGTTTTATCATAGCATCCCTTCCAGCCTGTGGTTGTATTGCGGTTTTGTGTGCTTGTCATAAAATCAGGCCGTCAAGTCGTCTATAAAACTGTTTTATGACTACTAAATTAAAACTCAGACTTCATAGTTTCAACGGTAGCTGTAAGGTGGTTCTGCATCACTACTTATAACTGAAGAATAAAACCAAAACAAAATATACAATTATGTTTTATGGCACACTTTTTAAGACCGATATAAAACTTGAAGCAGTCTTAGACCTTCATTAAAGCTTCATTACAACTATCATCTTTATCAGAGGCCTAAGATTCCCAGATAAGAAATATACTGCTACAACAAAAAGTACTCTGAAATTTTTTGTCATTATAAAAAAAACAAATCTATTCAGATATATGAAATGAAAACCCCTTCAGTGCTTCTGAACACGATGAAGATGAGACGATCGACAATATGAAACTCCTGGAGGAACTACAGTTATAGGATCCCTACATAAGGCACAGTGCGGTGAAGGAGCTCTTAAAAATATTGAACAAACGGTTTTCCGATACACTTCCGAAAGATCCACGAACCCTTCTTAAAGCCACGCAGACAGTTTCACTAAATCCGTTTGGAGATGGCCAGTATTGGCATCACGGCTTTAAACCTTGTATTGAAAAAGCTTTTAGTGGATCCAATAAGCATTTATTACATCTTGATTACAAGCGAAAATAGGAGGATCGCTTGGAATGTTGACTTTTTGACAGGTGGTCATGGTTTTTGTTTTGTTTTGATTCGCTGTACCGAATAAAACCAGCAAGCTAGTTATAAAGCTTAAATATAACTTAACGCTCTCAATTTGGACTACGAAATGCTAAGATACAACCATTAGGGTTTATGTTATGCTATATAAAGGGTGATACGGTCAAAATTTGGTCAAGGGAAAACGCGTGTAAATCGGTGAAATCGTTTATTTAAAAAATCAAATTAAATTTCTTTTTCAAGTTCAATTAGTATAAAATTCAGGAAAAATATTTAGTTAGGCTTCCGCTTTTCCAAATCCGAATTGCCGGGCCTTACGCTTGACCCCTGCCATCAGATTTTGTACAGCCACCTTGTCCATCTTCTTCGCCGCAGAAAGCCAGTTTGCCTTGAACTGCTGCTCGCCCTTAGCAGTTTTTTGGTCTTCTTTAGGTTCCGCTTGACAATAGCCCAGTATTTCTCAATTGGGCGGAGCTCTGGCGTGTTGGGAGGGTTCTTGTCCTTGGGAACCACCTGCACGTTGTTGGCGGCGTACCACTCCATGGCCTTTTTACCGTAATGGCAGATGCCAAATCCGGCCAAAACAGTACGGAACAACCGTGTTTCTTCAGGAAAGGCAGCAGACGTTTATTCAAACACTCTTTCACGTAAATTTCTTGGTTGACAGTCCCGGAAGCTATGAAAATGCTGCTTTTCAAGCCACAGGTACAGATGGCTTGCCAAACCAGATATTTCTTTGCGAACTTTGACAGTTTCATGTGCTTGAAAACATCTGCTACCTTTCCCCTTCCTTTTGCCGTATAAAACTCCTGTCCCGGAAGCTGCTTGTAGTCGGCTTTGACGTAGGTTTCGTCGTCCATTACCACGCAGTCAAACTTCGTCAGCATCGTCGTGTACAGCCTCCGGGATCGCGCTTTGGCCGTCGTATTTTGTTTATCATCGCGATTTGGAGTCACTACCCTCTTGTAAGTCGATAGTCCGGCTCGTTTTTTGGCTCGATGCACGGTTGTAGACGATACACCCAGCTTATTTGCGGCATCTCGGAGAGAGAGGTTAGGGTTTCGCTTGAAACTACCGGCAACTCTCTTTGTCGTCTCAGCGGCATCCGGTTTTCGATTTCCCCCCGATCCAGACTTCCTGGCTGTCGACAAACGTTCCCCAAACACTTTAATTACATTTGTAACGGTTGATTTGGCAACTTTTAGCGATTTTGCCAACTTTGCGTGCGAGTAGCTCGGATTTTCGCGATGCGCGAGCAAAATTTTGATACGCTGCTCTTCTTGCTTGGACGGCATTTTGACAACTGAAGAGTGAATTCCAAAATCAAAATAGGAGGAACATTCTACACACACACACCTTCAAAATGAGGGGTGTTCAGGTTTTTTAAATGCAAAATTGAAAGAAATACGTCAAGTTGATATTGACCAAATTTTGACCGTATCACCCTTTAATTCCAATCTAGGAGAATATGTTATATTGAGGTATTTTTAAGGAGTAGCAAGTTATAACGAAAAAAATGTCACCGTATGAAAAAATTTCACACAGTATGAATAATTACGCTTTAATTGATAGGCAATAAAACACTTTCATACATCTATGTATAATTAAATAATATGTGACTGGTTATTGCTCAACAGTAGTAACAGTTTTGTACTAAATAGATAATCTTTGAATGACTCTTTAATGCATGGTGCTAATGCAGACAAATTAAAAATATC